ACTGTGGCCAGAGAGCATATTTTATATGACTTTAATGCTTTTAAATTATCAACTCTTGTTTTATGACCTAGAAGATGGTCTTTCTCAGTAAATACTCTGGTATATTCTGCTGTTGTTGGCCGGACTGTTCTATAAATGTCAGTAAGGTAAGCTGGTTGTGTTGTTCATGTCTGCTCTACCCTTACTGATTTTCTAAGTTCCTGTTCTGTCGATCACTGAAACTTCCACCTAAAATTATAGATTTGTCTATGTTTCCTGCACTTACTTAACAGCAGTCTCTGCTTTGTGTATTCTGAAGCTGTGATTAAGTGCATAAAAGAACAAGGTTGGAAACGTGATACCAAAATTTCTCACGAAGCTATCATAGCCAAAACAGTGAGGTTCTGGCATAAAAACAGAGACAAAGATAGAACAAAACAAAACAAAAAAACAAACAACTAACCAGAAATATGTCCACATCTATAGGGCCAACTGGTTTTTCCACAATGGTGTCAAGCAATTCATTTGGGGAAAAAAAATAATCTTTTCAAAATGATGTTGGAACAACTGGATAGCAACATGCAAAAAAGTCAGTCAACCCTCACGACATGTATACAAAAATTAATTTGAAATAGATCATAGGCCTAAATGTAAGGGCTAAGGCTGTGAAACTTCCAAATGACAACATAAGAGAAAATCTTAGTGATCTGAGTCGGGCAAAAATTTCTTAAATAGAACACAAAAAGCACAGTCTATAAAATTAATAAATTATGGATAAACTGGATTTCATCAAAATATGCTGGCTCTTCAAAAGACATCCCTAAGAAAGTAAAAAGTAAGCCACAGACTGGGAGAAAATACTTGCAAAGTATATGTATGATAAAGCACTTTTATCTAGAATATATGTAACTTACATAACTCATTAAAGAGAAGACAACTCAATTTTTAAAAAGGGACAGAAGATTTGAACCAACACTTCACCTATGAATATATACAAATAGCAAATAATATAAAAATGCTCCATATCACTTGTGTTTAGGGAAATGCAAATTTAAATTACAGAAAATACTATTATAAATACAGAGTAGAATGGCTAACACTAAAACGACTGATAATACAAGTGTTGGCAAGGATGTGGAGTAACTGAACCCTTTAACACGGCTCATGGGATTTCAAACTGGAACAGCCGCTCTGGAGAACAGTTTGCTGGCATCAAGTTAAACATGCACTTACTATATGACCCCGGATTCATTCGTCTCTGAGGTATTTACCCAAGAGAAATGAAAACATACAGACACAAAAATGTACTCCTAAGTGTTCAGAGCAGGCTTAAAACAAAACACAACAAAACAAAACAAACACAAGTTCTGAACTGGAAATAGCCCAAATGCCTATCATCTGATGAATGGACAACCAGACTGTGATAAATCTTTACAGCAGAATACTACTCAGCAATGAAAGGAACACACTACTGATATACTCAAGAACAAAGATGAATCTCAAAAGTACTGTCTTGAGTGGGAAAATAAAAACCACATAAAAGTCTACAAGTGTATGATTCCAGAAATTCTAGAAAAGGCAAAAGTAGAGCAATAGAAAGCAGATCAGTCTTGACCATAAGAGGAAGGAACCGAATGCAAAGGGGCAAGAAGGAACTTTACAGGGTGATGGAAATGTTCTCTATCTTGATTGTGGGAATGATAACATGATGATCTGTTGCAAGGAGTCAAAACTCATCAAAGTATACACTAAAAATGGGTGAATATTGTATGTAACTTTGAGGTATAAGCTGACATAAAAATCTATTTAAAACATTTAACTCAGGGGCGCCTGGGCGGCTCAATGGGTTAAGCCTCTGCCTTCAGCTCAGGTCATGATCTCAGGGTCCTGGGATCGAGCCCCACATCGGGCTCTCTGCTCAGCAGGGAGCCTGCTTCCCACCCCCTCTCTGCCTGCCTCTCTGCCTACTTGTGATCTGTCAAATAAATAAAGAAAATCTTCAAAAAAAAATTAACTCATTAATAAACAAATGTGAGAAAGGAGAGCATAAACAGGGGGGAGGAGCAGTGGGAGAGGAACCAGCAGACTCCGCAGTGAGCGCAGAGCCCAACGCGGGGCTCGATGCCATGACCTGAGCCAAAATCAAGAGCCTGACACTCAACCGACTGAGCCACCCAGGCATCCCCCAAACTGTTTTGAAGTTTGAAGTCTGTATTACACATAAAGGTGTACAGATCATTAAGGGTCTTGTCACACACTCAGTACATGAGTGAGTTAATACCAAGCAAGCACCATGTCAATGCCCTCCCCCGAGAAAGAACACTGTGAACACCCCAGAAGGCCCATTCACTCCTCTTTTCAAAAGTTCACTGTTCTCTAAGTCTTTTAAAAGTAGAATATTGCTTGTTTTTTAAACCCTCACCTCAAGAAAAGTGTGCAGTAGAGTTAACCTTATCCAAAAAGAGGTCTGGCCTTTGCCTTGGGCTCCTGGGAGCCGATCTCTAAGCCCTCGCAATATTCTGCCTGATTAGTATCTGTTTCCCTGGGGGCCCTGGGTCAAGCAGTTATCAGCCTGACCTCCAGAGAAGCTCACGATTAAAAGTCAGCAGCAGGAGTGGTCAACCATGTCCGTGTAGTTGGGCCTTCAATTAAACATCTGAACACCCAGCCTCCAGTGCTCCTCCCTGCTTGGCAACCCCCCGGGGTGTGCTGTCAGTTATCACCACCGGGGGAAGTCACTCTGTTGAAATCTCACTGGGAGAGGGCGACTGGAAATTCCACGTGTGCAACGCTCCTGTATTTGGCACCAAGCACCCCCTCCCTGGGCTGATTTTAATCCGTATCTTTTTACTATAACAAATATGGTCGTGAGTGTAACAGTCTCTGTGAGTTCTGTGAGCCCTTCTAGCAAATTATCAAACCCAAGGGAGGTCGTGGGAACTGGCAGTTGGCGTCAGAAGTGAAGGTGGTCTTAAAAGGCACACCTGAACTCTGCAGAAGTCATACCGTTCCTACTTCTTTGACGCAGCTTAACGTACCTTGTAAGGACAGTTTATTCATTGCCATCGCTCACGCAGTAACAATGAATTGCATGTCATTTACTCACTACTGCTGATGGACGTAGGGATTTTTTCCAGTTTTGCCTTGTTATTATTGATAGACCTAGAAGGACAAATAGAGAGATTCATAATCATAGAGGGAATTTTTGATACATATGTTTTACTTGTTAAGAACAAAGCAGATAAAAAAATAGTAAAAACATAGGTTTTGATTATATCTTTAACAAATTAGATTTGACATCACTCAATACCTAAAACTCTTGTGGGCTTTCTCTGGGAGTAATGGTAATAAACATTCTTCCCAAATGCTTACTATGTTCTTATACCACTGTAAGAGCTCTATAAGTATTATTTCAGCTAATTTCATAATAAATCTTCCAACTTTACAGCTGAGACACTGAAGTTAGAGAATTTGTCCAGAGTCCCACAGCTAAAAAAAAAAAAAAAAAAAAAAAAAAAAAAAGGCAGATTGAGAGTTCAACTTCAGATCTGATTCAAGAGCCAAGTTCTGAATTCCTTTTCTATTTTCTACCTCTTCTTGAGGTAATGTTGGTATTTGCGTCTTCCTCGGAAATCAATGCCATCCAGAGTTTAAAAGTTATTAGCATGATCTGAACCTCAAATTGTGATATTAAGTCCTAGAATATCTATCAGATTAAAACTGCTTTTTAGGGACGCCTGGGTGGCTCAGTGGGTTAAGCCGCTGCCTTCAGCTCGGGTCATGATCCCAGGGTCCTGGAATCGAGTCCCGCATCAGGCTCCTTGCTCAGCGGGGAGCCTGCCTCTCTCTCCGTCTCTGCCTGCCTCTCTGCCTGCTTGTGTGCTTTCTCTCTCTCTCTTTCTGAAAATAAATAAATAAATAAAATATTTAAAAAAAAAACAAAAACCAAAAAAAATGCTTTTTAGCCCTCTGGGTTTTTTTCTTTCCATATCATGAACCTTATAAATTCATCTGGAGGGAACAATTACAATCTTGCAGTGAAATTCCATGACAAAAATAATCATTGCCTCACCTAAGACCTATCGGTCACCCCCGGTTTCTGGAAGCCTGATATTTGAAAACAAACATCACTCACACTAACAAGAGATACAATCGTCCAGGCATCATCATTCATGGAAAGCAATTTTTCTTGAAGTTGTCTTTTAAGCATTACGACTATAAAGCAATGCACGCCGGCAGTAAAATGGTTAAAAAAAAAAAAGTACTTTCCTTTCTGTGTGATCCTTTGAACTATGATCAACTTCCTACCTTTACTCCTCCTGGAAACTCGACGGAAATAGTAAGTTAACTGAGTAACTACGACATAGTTGTAGGTGAAAACTGCTGACCACACCCAGACGAGAACCAACTATGAATGAACTAGAAATACCCAACGGCGACACCGCAGCTTCGGCACTACGGGCATAATCAGGTCTGACTGACAATTCTAACTTCTGCTACTTAGACAAAGGAGTTATAAGAGCGTACAAGGTTGCCTTTAGCATCTAACTCAATGCATTAGGGGGACCAGTTAATTCTTGGTAATAAACTACCGTCAGGATTAGCGGTTATCTCAGCCATTCCATTTAAAAATAAATCTTTTGTTCTCGTACATCCTACCACTATCTTACTTTCCACCATGGCATTCAGCACCATCTAGCACACAGTGTCTGTTTATTTGCTTATTGTCTGTCCTTGTACAACGAAGTTCCAGGAGGGCAAGAGCTTTTGTTCTTGTTCGCTGCCCCACACCCAGTTCCTAGCACAGTAACCGATACATAGTGGGGTTCGGTGAGGATTTGTTGGATGACGTTCCTACTAAGGTGTGGCTATTATCTGATGGACTAACATCTTATCGAGCACCTACTATGTCCCGAGCCTGTGACAGTAAGGCAAGGGGACAGAGTGGTTATCAGCTGTGATTTTACAGAGTTAATCATCAAAGATAAAACTTCAGACAGTTCTCTACTGACCAAGAATATTTTCTTTATTAAAATGTTGTACAAATACATCACTAAGATTCTACGTGATTTAGCTCAATCAGTAACATGTACAGCAGAAGTTTATCTTCAATGTGCGGTTTTCTCGCCCCAAACACTTCACGGACGACCTTAGTCACTTGTACAAACCACCCTGTTCCTCCCCATGCAGGGACATAAAATGAGGTCAGCCACAGCAGGGGACAGGATGGGTCCTGAGTAATCTCCACTCCCAAATTTCTCTCAGGCGTGCTCCTCTGGGACTTTTCCACTCGTTTTCTCTTGAATGAAAAAGACAGTAAGTTTAGCCTCCTTTAAGAAAGCAAGTGAGCCTCTCTTGCCTGTCTCTGTCTTCACGGAGACAATCAGACCTTCTGAAGAACCACACACCAGTTGCCCTGGTCATAGTAGCTCTGCAGCAGGCGGACACCACTCAGGGTCCGGCAGGCCGCCTCCAGCTCGCCCTCACGGAACACGTGATAGTAACGATGGAACACGGCGCCCGGGGCCTGGGATCCTGCTGCACCAACAGGCTTGTCCTTCCCGGGGCTGCCCTTATGGTGCCAGGGAACCAGTAAGTCTTGAGCATGAAAAGAAGTCCTGTTAGTGTGAACAGGTAGCCTGGCATCCGTGACATCGCTGGCGTTACCCCCTTCCCCCGGGCAGTCGGGAATGGCAGGGACACAAGACGGGGCGTCCTGGTCACCCATGTCAGGCACCTGCCCTCCCAGTGACTCGGGCACCGCTGCTGCATCACTGTCCGTCTCCTGTTTCTTTCCTTGGCTAACTCTGTTTTCTCTAAGATACTTGGATTTCTTCTTATTATATTCCTGTTCCATCGCCCAGACATAAATCAGTGCCGTCCCACCAGGCCTCAGGAGTCGAACAAGTTCTCGGAGAGCCGCCACTCTGCGCTCCTAGTGAAAAAAAACCACGTTGCCCTTTATCGACCGAGAGGAAAGGCAGAGAGCAAACAGGAAAGTGTAAGTGACGACAGGGCTGTTTTCATTATGATGAACAGCCCAGAAAATCTCGCAAAATACAAAGCAAAAAAGAAGAAAAACGGAAACTTTGTTCTGTGACTGAGGGGGTGAAAAGTGTCAAAGAAACAGGGAAAAGGGCATTTTTAATTGTGTTAATAAAGCAGAAGCATAGGTGGTTATCCACTTGATTTCATTTTGAATTCAGGTAAGCTGGTCAGGTGTACGGAAATGCCTGGTAATGCCGGCTCGGGGGAAATCTGTAAAATCATTAATTAGGTTAGGGGAGAAACCCCTGACACATGGAAAAACAGGCTGTTTTTTCTTTTAAGAAAAATATAAAACATTAAATTCACTTGTTTCAAAACCAGGAACGTCTGTGACGAATTAAAAGCATGAGTGACAGCTCCGCAACACCTGAGTTTTGAAAAAAAGAAGACAAGCAGGCGGGAAGGAGGGGATAGCAAAGGTCAGGGAGACGAGTGCGAGCCCGTGGGCCAGGGAGCTCCCCGCTGTCTGACAGCTGAACTGCGGAGCCCCTGGACCCGGGAACACTCGGGCCGGGCCGCAGGCAGAACCAGGCCGCACTAAAAGCGTCCACCCCCCGCCCGCCCCCGGCCTCGCGGGAGCTCAGGCGCCGCGCACCTCCTCTGCTAAGGGGGCGAAGGGCCGGGCCACCAGGGAGAGGACGGGGAGACCGGAGAAGCCACCCGGGACCACGTCCTGCCCCGAGCTGCAGTTCTGGGGAGAGAGAGGCAACACTCACGGCGGCGGCGAGGTGGTGAATCACCGCGACGGAGAGGCAGGCGTCGCACGAGCCGCTGCGCAAGGGCACGGCCAGCGCGTCCCCGACCAGGGCCTGGAAGCGCCGCTCGCCGCAGATGTCCGCGAGGCTCTGGCTGCGATCACAGCCGATCTGCGGCAGAGAGAGAGAGAGAATCCCGGAACGGGTTGTTTGGACGCCCCGAGAGCCCCCGAGCCGCGGCGTACCCGCTAGCACACGCTCTGCGGCGGGAAAAGCTGGGAGGCCGGGAGCGTCTCAGTCCCCCCAGCCGGCGCGAAGGCCCGCCGGGTACCCGCAGGGCAGCCTTTCCCTCGGCACCGGAGTCGAACCGAACTCGGGGCCGCGCGTGGAAACGCAAGGAGCAGAGTAAAGACGACAGAGGTGGACACGGGAAGTCCCCACTGGCATCCAGTGCATCACCGACCAGAATCCAGAGCTTTGGGTAACGGAAACCATCCCCAAAACACAGACATTTGGTCCTTCGTGGGGGGCTACAGCTGTCTCTCAACACAAACTCTACTGTGCCGGCCCCCACAGCAGGAGGACGGCTGCGGTCTTTGCCCGCTTCTTTTTACCTTTCAATGCATATTACTGTACAATCAGAAAATAAAATCCCCAAACAATAAAAAAGTAAAATAATTAATTTCATTTTTTTAAAGCTTTGAGTCTTGTTTTGTTCACCACTTAACCCATATACATCAAGAATAAAGTGCTGAATTCAAACTTTATAAAACACTATTTAATTAAACCTTTTAGTCTAAGCCAACCATCATAGGGGAACAGCAGCGTCCCTTCATGTCCCCAGGCAGGGAGGCCTCTTGCGCCCTCCGCAGGGGCCTGGTTCTGCTTGACATGTTTGGGAGCAGGACTGTCGGTCTCCTCTCCAGCTCTGCTGTTATTTTTGTACCCAGTTGTGCTGTTTAGTCCCGAGAGTACCCTGTGTGAGCTTGTGTGCGCATGTGTGCGGAGGACCAGAGCAACGCACACAATACACAAATGTTTAGTCCCGAGAGTACCCTGTGTGCGCGTGTGTGCACATGTGTGCATGTGTGTGTGTGCGGAGGACCAGAGCAATGCACCATGTGCATAGGTAAACTGAGAGACGATGGGGGGAGCAGCATGAGAAATATTAAATCACTAATTAATAATTATCCCCAGGTATTTCTTCTTAACTCATTCTCTACAAGAGAGAAGAAGCAATGTGAAAGAATTCAGCAGACAGAAGGGGCCACCTCAAGCTTGGATTTGCTCATTTGAATTTAAGATGCAGTGAGCACTGATTATTAGGGTTCCCTCAGTCTATCCCAGAAAAAGAACAAGAGTCCTCATGTCAAAACAAGTCTTACTAAGTTAATCACACTGCCATGCTAGTCACACTTACTATGAATCTGCTCAATTTCTAAGTGGTATTAAACAGCTTCTATATTCCATCCCAGAGCTGCACTAATTTTTGAGGCATAATGGAAGGCACCAAGCTAGAGGTAAAGCACAGCAATGTCCCCTTGATATATCCTAAGATGAGAAAGTACGAAGGGCCCACTCCTAACAACAGCGGCACAATTCCCTATTGACTCCTGTCTCTACCTCCGTGGGATACATAACTGACTTACTACTTTTATGTCTTTTCTTCCATATTCTATGCTGCTGAGCCAGCAGCCACGAATCAAGCTGGCAATACTACTCACATAACGCGTGTATTACATTCCAGGGCTTGTCACCTTATTTCACAATAAAATTCAGTTAACGGAGTCAGAAGTCTCAAGTCGGTCCAATTCTGACAGATTGCTATAGATCTTGCTAAAAGTCAACAGGAAAAAAACCAACTTTACTACAAAACAAATACCAGGAGGGAGAGCTCAACGAAGAAGGAAAGTTATTACCCGAAAACCCACGAGAAAGCAGAACAAGAACAGCAGCCAAACCAAAACCAGAGGAAATGTCCTTCCTCCCACTGCCAGGCCACTGCACATCTGTATGGGGGGCTCCCCTGTGCCAACAAGAGACGGGGATGGTTTGACTCACAAACCAGCAGGTCGAGTGTAGACAGGACTCACGTCTGGTGCACGACCTCCATCCTGTGCTTACTCTGCCCGAGTCTTACACACAATCTTCATCAAATCATCACTAATTTACCCTCTTCCCTTTCTATTTTTAAATTTCCATAAGTCTTTGGCACCAAGGAAAGCACCCAGAATGTGAAGGGCTCCCTAATCACGTTGCATAATGTCAAGTGTGACAGAATATGGCTTATTTATAAATACAATTTATAAATACTCACATTTATTAAAGGACTCATGTAAGGCTACGTAATTCTGTGTGCTGGACAGTCAGTGACATGAAAACACACAATGGCTGGGCTTGAAATGCGTACTTACTAATTTTTAAAATCTTCAACAAAACATTAAACATGCAATTCCTGAAAGCCTGGTAAAAAATGAAAAAACATTCAACCTAGTGGTCAAAGGTGCAAACTACAAAACAAGGTTTCATTTTTCTTCCAGTGGAGTATTGAAAATATTTTAAAACCAAAACACGCCACGGTGATGGCAGTAGGAAAAACTGCTCTCTGAAGCGCTAAGACAGTACAAACAGATGCCACCGATTTCCAAGAGCCATCTGGTGCGCCACTTTTTAAGGAGGATAAAATGTTCACAACTTTTTTTTTTAAGTAGGCTCCATGCCCATCACAGTCTCATGCAGGTCTTGAACTCACAACCCTGAGATCAAGACCTGAGCTGAGATCAAGGGCTGGATGCTCAACCAACTGAGCCACCAGGCACCCCAAAAACATGTATAACTTTTGACCCAATAATTGTTCTTCTAAAAATTCATCCAAAAAAAAAATTATCCAAAAGACAAAAAAAGCTAAGTGAGCTAAAAAAAACAAAACAAAATTGCCTTTTAGCAGCCACCAGATATGACAGCAGATTAACGACCTCAACCCTGAACACACACCCTGAAGTTAGCTGCTGCTATTACACGGCAAATGAGGAAGACTTGTCTCACCACAGGTAAGTCATCCGCCCCAAGTTAAAATAGTTCAGTGGCAGCGCAGAGATTCAGACCTGGGCTTTTCTCACTCCAAACCCCATGTTCTTCCTTCCTGTCAGACTGTTTCTCGGGGCAGATGCTTGTCCCTGTGTCATTTATAAAAACCCCATAGTGAACATGAGGAAGCATCCGGAAGCCTCTCCCTCACCGAGTGTTATCAAGTCCAGGAACTGTGGAAGGCTACACACTCACATGGAAGTACGAAGTGATATGAATGAGTCATCAAGGTGTACGCACACTCGGGATGATACAGGTTACAGGGAAAACACGGGAAGGACATCTCTCACAACAAAGTGCTCTATTGGGGGTTAGGATTACAGGCAAATACCTTTCTTTTTAGTCCATTTTCTGAATTGCAGCTGTATTAGTTTTATTACTTTAAAAAATACCACATTTTTTAAGCTACTAAGGAAACAAGCACAATAGGGAGATGAGACTGGCAGTAAGGGGTTCAGAGTGTGCAGAATGGGCAAAGCCCGTCAACTACCATGAAAACAGCAAACAGAAGTCTCAAGCTAAACTAGCTGAATGATCTAGGAAAGCCACCAAATGACTGTTTAGTCATAAAAATGCCTACTTCTTAGGGTTGAGATGAGAACCAAACGAAATGATGTGTATTAAATGCTTCACTCCACAAATGTTATAACGACTACACAGAACAAAGGGTGGGCACGACTTCTCATCCTGGGTTCTAGATACACAGAGAAATCCAGGCATCCTAGTGCCTCAGTGTCTGTCATTCTGAGTCTGTCCCATCTCCTTCAAGGTTACAGGACACAGCACTGTATATTCCGCTTTGCATGTGAGAAACTGAAGGCAAACTCACAGGTTTGCTCCTCACCACTCAACAAACCATCAACAAGCTTCCATCAGCAAGTAGCTGGTTTCTGCCACATCTGAGATGACAGCGAGCTGTTCTGTCAGCAGAGTTGGCCTTTAAGATCTCTGTTAGCAGAACGCCACAGAGTACAGACCCTGCCGCTGGAACAAGGTTCTAACACTTCTCCTGACACCCCGGAACCTTGGGCCTGTTTTCCTGCTGGTAAAATGGGAGCAGTAATAATGATCTCCCACATCCTGTGAGAAAACACAGCTCAGCACTTTGCGCACACTGTTAGTGGCCATTCTGTCCTTTCCATTACTGGGGTAGTCAATGGTTCACACACAAAGCAAAACAAAAGCAGAAATGTTCAGAAGGGTCTTACACAAACACATCTCCAATTCTTATATTATCAACAGATAACTGGCATTATTATTATTAGCTTTGCAATCCCAGCTATTTACAGCAACCAAGAAAGTTCCTACAATGTATTAAGTAGTTATTTATCTGAGAAATCTGGGCTGAAAGTGGTCTGAGACCAACGCAGAGAATCATCACATAGTGAGTGAGTCGGGCTGAGCTCTGGGTATATACTATCTCATCTACTGCTAGTAAAGGCGGAAAGTTTCCTAAAGGTATAAAGTCTTTGCTTACAAAATTTACCTCTGAACATAGAGGCAGCAGCCAGTGCTGATGACAGAAATGAAGAATAACTAAAGACATCTAAAAAATGAAAAGCAGAGGTGCTTGGGTGGCTCAGTTGGTTAATCATCTGCCTTTGGCTCAGGTGATGATCCTGAGTCCCAGGATCGAGACCCGAATCGGGCTCCCTGCTCAACAGGGAGTCTGCTTCCCCCTCTCACCCACCTCCCTCTCACATTCTCTCTCTCCTTCTCTCTCATTCTATCTCTCAAATAAATACATAAATCTTAAAAAAAAAAGATACCCCTGAAACAAATAATACATTAGATGCTAATTTTAAAAAAAGAAATAAGAAAAAAAGAAAAATACCCCTGAAACAAATAATACATTATATGTTAATAAAAAAAGAAAAAGAAATTAAAAAATGAAAGGCAGCTTATAAAACAATTTCCATGAGGGCTTAAGCTAATATTTTAAAAATACATTTTGTTAAGGAATCATGTAATAATACTATAAACATTTTTTTTAATTCTGAGGCAATCCTATGCGTGCATACTTAAAATGAATGTCCCAGGTGACACCCCCTCATGAATATCAAAAACATGCACATATTTTCAGGCTCAAAGACAGCTGCTCAAAATACATTCAAATACACGGGCGGGAGCTTCAGCAGCTTCCCTCTACCATCCGTGACTCCATTTCTGGTATAACGAACACCAGACACAAGGCGTCTTCATTCCCGCACGGAACCAACACCTACGGGAGCCTTCCGTAGGTCAGGCCCGCAGCAGGCTCTGCAAATCGCATGTGCCAACCACAAAATGAATAAAAATAATGGAAAGTGACTATATTTGTGATTTTCTAATTCTTCCACATGAATTCCTTCTTGAACAGATTCAGATTTTTGGCAAATCATGTTTCTCAACTGTAACAGGATAAGGCGGTCGGGAGGACTCCGTTCCACCCAGCTTCGTGGCCACGGGAGCTGTCGGGCTCGATAAGGCCGTGGGTTAGACCACGAAGGTGCAAGAGCAGAGCTCCCTGAGGGACGTTCTGGACAACACCTGAAGATGACAGTCTCAGAAGACATCACTCCGATTTTAAGTGGCACACCGAGAATTCTTCCACGTGAACAAATCTAACTCATTAGACCTTATTCTTCTTAGACTAAAATTAAATTGTAAACATGATGACAATACATGGATACTAATGTCTTATCTCGATGAAATAAAATCTGTCTCCTAATGCATGAACTCTGCCTTCCCTCAAGCGCAGCATAACTCACTTTGCTCATGGAAGAAGTAAAGATACAGACGATGTGCCAAGTGATGTTCTCTGGGGACCCGTGGGTGCGCACTGCTCTCGTTGTCCCTACCCACCCTCCTGACTCTAGTCCTCCTGCCCCTAATCTTGAGAAAGGGAAGCTTCGGTCCTCAGAGCCGCACTGACATGGGTATTTACAATAATGCGCCAGTGTAGGGAGAACGATCTCCTTCCCAGCACGGCAGAAAAAAAAGTGGACCGCAGGAAAGAAATCATAGCAACTGGAAACAGAAATGTGGCGACAGAAAGAAGTGGATTCAGATCCTGCCCCTTGAGCTGTAACGTCAATCACATGGTTTAAGCTACTCAAGCCCTGGTTTCCTCAAGAATAAGACACCAACAAATAGTAACCTTTACTTTTTCCTACTGTGAGTAAAAGAACACTGTATTTGGCGTCAGAGGCATGGGTTCAAGTTTCAGCTCTGTCCCCTAATTACAGGACATCAGGGAAGTAATATAGTCTGTGAGTCCCAGCTGCTTCATTTATAACAGACGGATGAAAATATCAGCTTTAACTTCCTCACATTTAGAAGGATCGAAGCAAAGAAAGTGGATTCTCTAAATATCCTTTCTGACCTGTAAAAAGTTTAATAAATTTAAGGTAGTTTTACTGATAAAATAATCAAAATCTAAAGGAAGGGGAAAAACACACACATACACTACAAATAATGGCATGCATGCCCACAAATTCTCAGGGGAATTAAAAAAAAAAAAGGAGTACTCATAAATTTTCCATCTGTTGGTTATAACTTTTCATCAGTGACCTAAAAAACAGCATTCTAGCATAAGGCAGAAGGTGATAATAACAGACAAAGCCAAAAGGGAGCCAGAAGCAAAGTGACTTACCATGTATAGGTCCTGATTGATGCCAAGATACTTTCCGTTTCCACAGCCAACATCGGCCACTAATGAACCACTGGGCAAAGCTTTCAAGAAGTCCACGACACGCGGCCACGGGGTGTGCCTCGTGCTGCTGAAGTGCCCGGCAATCTCCTCGTAGACCCGATGGACGTGCTCCCGCTCCAGCTGCGAGGCTTCTCCAGCGCTCCTGGGAAGCGACGGGGAGGTCTGCTTCGTCCGGCTGTCACAGACCAGAGGGTAACCTAATGGAAAAGGAAGGCAATACAAACCTTTTCTTTCTATCCAGTGGTTCATAAGGTATCATGTTTTCTTAAATGAACTAGCAATTCAATGCAAATTCGGTGGTAAGAGATACGCAGGCTCTGATTTAACAGTTTAAAAACAGCTCTTACCCAACAAGTCCAATTTCGTGAGTGAGGGGCCAAATAAAAAGAAGGGGAACATCCATCCGCAGTAAGACATGAACTGCAGTTCTACAACCGCCTAACAATGCAGGTGCCTAGTTCATCCGGGGATGAAGGGTCCTTTAATTTAGGAAAGCATCTTGATGGGCCTGGCCTAACCAGAAGAAATTTAGCGAATTCACAGGAGTTAGGGTTTTTCTCTTGGTGAGCAAAGGAGACAGGAGTTCTGGGGCCCTAGCACTCTGAGGAAAACAACAAGACCTAGGAGAAAGTGTCATTTGGTTATGACCACAAGCATTTAATGAACACCATTTGAAGCAGTTTGTACGGATGGCCTCAATTCTTACTGTAACACCATGAGCTGGAACTACTGCGTCCATTTCACAGATGAGGACACTGAGGCACAGAATGCTAAGTAACAATCCTGAAGTGACAAAGATGGTAAGTCACAGAGCCAGGATTTGCACACAGGCAGTGGGGACTCAAGAGCCCACAATCTCAATGACAACAGAATCAACACACCCTAAGGAAAACACCATCAACTCAAGGAGATGACAAAGGAAGTTGAGGATACACTGTTATCCTAATTAACATCCTAATTAAATGGATTCTGAAGTTGTTCCCTCTTCCCTGCAACCCGTCTAACACTCATTTTAAATCCTAGCCTGCTCGAACACGGCAGGGATGTCCATTATCACCACTGCTCTTCAACATAGTACTAGAAGTCTTAGCCTCAGCAATCAGACAACAAAAGGAAATTAAAGGCATCCAAATCAGCAAAGAAGAAGTCAAACTATCACTCTTCGCAGATGATATGATACTATATGTGGAAAACCCAAAAGACTCCACTCCA